CGCTGACAGTCAAAACTGGGAACGCCTTTCTTTGTTATGAATAGTATTTAAATTTGGATGTTTTCTAAAACCCTAAATACCAGAAACATAATTTGAAGCCGAATACTTCCACTCTTCGCTCTGTTTAACCACTGCATACAGATGTTAATCCAGCACCATTATGTTTATTGAGCTCAGTGCACAGAGCACGACTCTGGAGCCGGTGTGAAAAGAGAGAAACTTCATTTTTGGCAGAATCACTCAGTAGAGTCTGACTTTCTGTGCTGACCTGTTTACTCATTTACTGTTAACATAAATATTTGTTTTTTAAAAATGATTCCACTTGATTTAACTATTAAATACATACTTATGAAAGCCAGAGAGCCAGTGAACATTTGTTAGTCCAACGTGGAAGGGGTCTGTCTCCTCCTTGTACTGTGGCCTTTGGACTCACAGTGTGTTCTCCACACATGTGATAAGATTGCTGCTGACTGTTTGCCATCATGTAATCTGATGCTGCTGCCTCTGAAACGCCTCTTAATCAGCCCTCAGATGTCACATGTGTCTTTACTCTTACACTAAATATGTTGGTGCACTGTTTGTGTCTTTCAGGGCATCATAAACATTGTCTACATCGTGGGGGTAAACCCCATGGCCCAGAGCTCCTCCAGTATGATGTACAATCCAATGCTCATGATGTGCCAGAATCTTTACCAGACCAGTTACTCGCAGATGGGAGGAGTGGGAGGCTTCCCCATGTACAACCAGTACCTGTACCATTACTGCTTTGTGGACCCACAGGAGGTCTGTAGCTATATTAAATAAAGGATTTGTTTCCAGGATTATTTAGTGATGATGCTGCCTGATGAACCTGTTTATTCTGAAATGGTAAAAAGTCTGCGAGAGGTTTTCTTGATTGATTTGTTCTTGAATTATTTCTGTTTATCAACCGTTTATAAGTGAAAACAGTAACGACTTTAGTTGTTTTCTGTTATCTGCTTGTTAAAACCTGTTCAAACTGTGGTGTAAGGGAGGTTTCCTTCTCATATTAGTTCTGTGCAGCACTGTGACTCATAATGTTGCTACACATTTGTACTTTTTGTACCGGGATAAACCAACTTTATCTCGGCGCTTATCTCTTTCAAAATGTACTCAGACTCATATTCTTGCCGTTACCAGGGAATTGCAATGGCATGTGGATTCCTGGTTGTCTTCGCCTTGAGTGTTGCTGCTTTCTTCGCTCAGAGGACAAGAGGGAAGATCTGGCGCTACGGCAAACCGAATATTTACTGGGAAGAGCCTCTTGTTGGTGGGAAGGCCTCAGAGGGCAGAGATGTAGAGGACTGGGTAAGAGACAACAGGATGGTGGACACAGTTTAATGAGTTTAAATGGAGGATTTAAAAAACTAAATCGCATTTCCTTCCTGCATTCCTGCATTTCCTTTGCCCCAAACTAGCCTAGAGTCTATGCACGCAGAGCTTGGAGTCAAGTGAGCAGAGTTTAAATCCAGCCTCAGGTGGAGCACAGCAATCACAGACAGATTTGATTCGATGATGAAACGCTCGACTACAGCGGGGTTTGTTTTGTGTCTTTTGCATAAACGATTAAGCCAACTTGCTTTACCTCTCTGTCACAAATCATGTGATTTGTTGCTAAATGGCAGCGAAGTAGGTGAGCAGGTAAGCTGTCAGTGACGTATTCACCTTGTGCAGATAGTCATCAGTGATAATGACAGGTAGGCGATTGTGGTGACCTGTAAATAGCCAAGCAGAGACTTGCACATGCCCTATTTTAGTTTGATTACCCCTGCTGTTTGTAACATATAACTCACGTCGAGAGACAGTTGATTGGTGTTGATCGCCAGTTTACTTCTCTCATGTGCTTTTATTGCCTGGCTTTATGAGTTCACAGTCCGAGAGGAGTTTCGTGTGTGATGTTGTGAAGGGTTCAGCAGGGAAACAGTAACGCTAAACTCAGTGTTTCCTCTGACTGAGTCACTTTGTTCAGGGTCAGGATGATAGCAATCGGTGATTGTTTGCAAATGGCCTACAACCTGGTTTCACTCTGAATAATCATTAACCACCCGAGGAGACGGTAAGCAGGCAGGTGGTTTCTAGAGAGCCTGCCGCTGTGTTTTTCTAAAAGTCCACAGCCTTTCAGTCATGCAGGACCAGGAACTGAAACGTGGGCCGAGAGTGAATGAAAGCATCAAGAGCGCCGTGTAAGAGATTTAACTATAGTTCATAACCAGCCGTAACAGGATAGTCTGATGAATTAAGGATGCAGAGAAACGTGCGCTTTTATCTAAGAAATGTTTTCAGTCACGTAATGTACTGCAGGCTTCCGGCACAGCACCTCATCACACTAATGGTCTTTATTTCCTGTTCCCATCTAGTGTTTGTTCAAACATCATCCACTCGAATGTCAGAAACACAGATAAATATACAAACATGGCGCATAGCAGATACATGCCAACTACAAAAGAAAGAAACAGATTAATTATGACGTTAATGATTAAACAGCGCACAGTGGTTCACACTGTTGCCTCATAGCGAGAAGGTCCTGGGTTCAGTTCCACCATCAGGCCTTTCTGTGTGGAGTTTGCATGTTCTCCGGTGTGTCCTCCCTCTCGCCTGCTACATAGACTGCTACATTCTTGCCTAATATCATTTGATTACACTGGTGTGTCGAAGGACGCTGGGAGTCACAGTGTAGCTCTTGCAAAGATACCTGAAGTTCCACCAAACAGACGTGTTGTACTGGTGAATGATATAGAGCCGTTTGTTGTTGAGAGAGCTCGTCCTTCCCGAGAGTGTAACATAGCACGCAGAGGTGTACAGGCAGAGTGAATGAGATGAGCCCACAGTGACTCGCACTGATGCCTAATAATGGAGCACAGTGAAGTCATCGAGCTCGTTGCAGGAGCAGTGATGAAGTCTCTTCACTGGAACAAATTTCTCCGGGAAGTCAAAACACCAAAGTATGTTTTTAGTCACAGAAGAGTTTGTACAGTAAGATGAATCTTAGAGGATTTAATGATCAGTGGGAGCAGATAATTATAAGTCTACAACATGTATGATCTGCAGTCTGTGCGTCAAACTTCCTGCATGAAGACTGCGCTCTATATGAAGCAGCCAGCGTGTGCCAGTGGCTTTCTCCTGTCCTTACGTTCCTTATATTACTATCATTATGATGATGACAGCCAGTCACATTCACACTGCAGGCTTTTTTTATTACTTTGTTGACACACTACCTGTGTCTCTGCCACAGAATGAGTCATCAGCCTCGTTTGGCTCCTTTAAGCACCAGGCGAGTGACAGTCTAAGGCTGTGGTCGGTCTGAGATTGGACCCGTCTCTGTTGTTGAGCTCAGGGAGGCCTGGCTCGCTCTGATGACCTCACACACAAGCTGCATTCAGCTCGCCCGAGGTGGTGCGCTGCATTGTGTCTGCTGCATGAGGTCATCACAGTCGGTTCCTGCAGGGCTGTCTGCAGCATCCTGAGCTGCTTCACAGTTAGAAAATGTTCTGACAGGACATTAAGCAGCGTGAACTCAACATAAGAATGAGAAAATAGCGGTGAGAGTTGGAGAGCAAAGAATCGGTTACTCTTCCACATTATCACCTCGTGTCTGAGTAGTTAAATCTCTGATTAGTCACTGCTCTAACAAGTTTCTGTAAAGACCATTATCTCTGCTTAAAATAAAAAGTTCTTTAAAGTTATGCAAGCCGACCTTTCCCGGCTGACACAGACACATCTCCTGATTTTCTGCTTTTAACGGAGACTTAAGCCTTAAGAGTCTCCATCAAGACTCTGTTTCTTTGTCTATGCCCCTCTAATTCCTTCCTTTGTTGACATGCACTTATGCCTCATTTATACTGCTGCTCCATGGGTCACCGCCTCCTCATCAACATCCAACATTGCCTGCGAGCCGTTTTTTTAATCTTCCTGTCAATCTTTGCCTCCTGGCTTTGCTTCAGCAGGCCCAGCACTCTCAGACATTCTTACCGTGCTCGCGCTCACAGCCGCTGTGCTTCTCACTGAGAGGACATTGTTGAGATTCTTCCAACAGGATTCTCCTGCAGCTGCACGAAGCCCTGCTCGCCCCCACCCAAGCGCTCCACCCAGTGTGATTATTGTTTTTTAGGGGCAAGGCTGATGTTTAGCTCTCAGGAATTTAGCGACGTACCACCTAGAGAGCGGAAAACCTGGTCGATGTTATCACAGGAGTAGAGCTGTGTACGGTGGTTG